GGAAATACCTGCCAGCAGAATACTGCTACCGTCTGGAGACTCATATGAGTTATGCTCTGGAACTATGATGCTATTGTCTTTCGAAGAACAATATCTTGAGGATCTGTGGTACGAAAGGGAGTATATGACAAACTTGTCAAGGACGGTGGGCCGCCTTAGTATCCAATCCATCTCCTCGAAGAGGTCTTTAAAAACCTGAAGAAATACCATGAGCTCTTATAATGCTGGTAAGGAGGGGTTGGTGCAGACCCGGACAATTAGGGAGTGTTCGGGGACAGTGGCTAAGATGGATGCAATTCCGTGAGTGGCAGGCAAAGAGGAGGAAGGAGTTTGAAGGCCGTATATCTGAATATACTGAGTGGGCTAAAGAGTTCCTTCAGAATAGACATTCCTTCATAGTACCTTTCGAGTTTGAGTTCGATGAGGATCCTAGACGACAAGATGAGCTGGCAGCATGGATTGAATACCCAGCCTACGAGCACAACTTCTATACCGCCAGATACGCCTAGCACAAACGGTGCAAGCAATAGTATAATGAACAATGGAAGAAGCTTGTGGACTCGAGAGTATTGAGATCGCATGAAACGTATGAGTTTATATGGAGCGATGAGTCTGCTTTCCAGCATGACAGTGAAAAGACCTAAGAGAATTGTAGAATCTGTACGATCAATCGTGTTATCAGTAGAGCAAGCTATTAGGGGTCTACTGCGGCCTTCTCCCCCTATACAACAAAGGTTGGCGGCTGCCTAATCCAAGCTAGACTCGGCAACGCAATTATTCGAATCAATCAAGAGACGGAATGGCCTTATCATCGAATATTACCGAAATACTCGAAATTACCGAGACGCTAAGCGTAATGCAGAGCGCCATACCATACTGCTGCAATGGATTCGAGAGCAAGTCCTATTGATCGAGCTTGAGTCGCAATCCAAGGCCGCCGAGAGCAGATCAGATGGCCGGAGAGGGAGAAAGAGAGGGCTCGAGCGCGGCCAAGACGAGATCGTGGAAGACCAGTATCCCAAGAGACATAAACGGAACGCTACGGATTCGTGCAGTCTTAGTGACATAGAGGATGAACCGCTCTCCAAACGGACAGGGAATGGCCATCGACTCTATCGTTCTCCTCTACAAACACCTGACCAGATAGAGATAGTCGCGGTTAGGCGGTCACGAAGGTACAGGATTCCTGCAAGGGGGAAGGATATTGGGAAACAGGAAGGTGGTCATCGTGCAGTCTCCCCGCTTCGTCGCAGTGCGCGGATTGCTGCGCATCAAGAGTTGTCCAAATGTCCCGTCGTACAAGCGCCAACACCTCCATCATCCACAGGTTCACATGGTCGGTCGAAGTCCCAGCTCGCAAAGTCGTCAAAGCGAAGCTTGGCATGAGGCAACTGGGTTGGCCCTTCGTAGGGACGCAGCGGTCGACGAAAATAATATGCTGAAGACCTGTAAATTACCCTTTTAATTAGAGAGTGGGAGGGTCGGGTAAGAACCCCGAACGATACATTAGATACAAGAATCGTTGTGATCAGCATCTACAAGATCTGGAGCAAATCAGTAACACATTGACGACCTGCATATAACACATTGCTTAGGTCCGTGACACTATCAGACACAGCCTATGAGCACCAAACCGGCTTGTGAGCTTGATGAACATATATTCACGAGAAGTAATTCTTATTATTGCTAACAAACCGGAAGAGGAGATCCTACATCCAGAGAAGCGAATCCAGAGCAACAAGGCAGCTCGGGCCCTTGCAGATGATTTTGCGATCCAGATTCCGGAGGTAAGGTTCAGCCCGGCTGAAGTCCTCTCCTTTCTTGAAAATCAAGGATCGCCATCCAAGGCCGTAGCCAGTATAAAAGAACGGATGTCCAAGGGAAGGACGCTAGAAAGGCGCAGCTCTTGGGCCCAAGGTGAATGAAGCCTGCGCTGATTGCGGCTGGTCTCAGCGTGTCTGGGCCTTTGGTGCAGAGCGCAGGCACGCGCATTAAGAGGCAGGTTGGATTCACAAGACGGAAATGGGGTTGCTTTACATTATGAGGATTCAAGTAATCAGATTGCATGTATTCAAAGTTCAAATCCAGTGCGTATCTTCTTCGAAACCATCGGCAACCTCCAACCTTAACACCTCGATCTACCTTCAAGCCGACTGACGATCGCCTATTTCAGAGAACCAAATTGCATGATATACACTAAGCAAGAACTCACTGTCCTGCGCGACCTAAACATACACCGTATATACTGCCTTCCTCCAGCGCCACGACACCCAAAGTGAGCGCCTAACGGATAGAGACCGCCGCGAGGAGATGTTGGAGGAAGTGCGGTGGCACCTGCAGGCCGAGCGAGACATAGTCAGCATAGAAGGGCAAATGGCATGATACGATCGCTGAAGAGTCGGATTCAGGCGGTGCTCCTGTTCGCAAGGAATCTCATGAGACAGGAGGGTTAACTCAGATTGGTAGATAGCTGCTCAGAGTGACAAGACACCCCTCGCTCAGGCATCGGTCTAGTTACAGGTTGTCATCTAGTCCGCTTTCCTCTGTTCCAGTGGCATTTCACGAGTGGATGTTGGGGAGGTGAGAACAGGCTTGCGATGAGCGAACACACACTCCCTCGGGAGCCGTGTCAGGTCATTCGTCATTGGCGCCCCTTGTTCGACCGTCACGAACCGTGACTAACTCCAGGCCAGACCCTTGTCCAGGCGACGACCGCTTCCACTGGTCCTCAGTCGCGCCTATTGGCTGGATAGAGCTTCTTGGCTTGGCGACAAGGCACACCACGCTCGTGTATCGGGTCCAGCTGAGACACTTCTATGCCTGTTGGTGATAGCGCAACCGACCGCACCAGAAGAGCTGACGCCACATGTCCGGGTTCCATCCAGACAGCCACATCATCGCGATGGTAACCCAGCCCGTCCTCTTCCCCAGCTGTCGAGAAACATCTTGCACCAGCCGTCGAGCGGGTCTTGAAGGCAGTTGCGTGGATCTTGGACACGTCGAAAGCTCTGATTGTTCATCATGGCCGGGAGAATCAGATATTCAAAAGGAGAGGCACAGAATATCTGTTATTTGGTCAGATTCAGCTGGAGATTCTTGGGAGGGGCTTCTTCACCTCGTGTCCACGAGATTGCTTTGGTCACAAAATGCCGACACATGCGCGGCGTTGCACGTCTGAGCTGGCGTGCGGCAATTTTGCCATTAGCTGGAATACGGCCGGTCGAACCGAAAGGAAATGAAAGGAAAAGGAGAAGAGGGGAAAGAGGATTGACGGACCGGGGCATGGAGTATTTATCAAGAATAGTTGACCTCGAGATCAAGCAGCTGGTACGTAGAGCGCCAGGGTTGGGGGACAAAAGTCGGGCCCGTGCACCGGGTTCTGATTGGCGGAGAGGGCGGCCTGGCGGAGGGAGGCCGACCATTCAGAAAACGGAAGTGTCGACAGCAACACACGTCTTACAGGTAGGTGGCTATGTGCACGGATCCAACTCTGGTAGGTACCGTACATGCGACGCCTACCTTACAAGGTACCTGCCCCGATTCAAGCCACCCCGAGCGCCGCCATCCATTCTTATCTTAGGTTATCGGAGACCATTTTTGGATTGCCTGCCACCAAAATTGGCACTATCGCAGGACGGAAGGCTTGAATCATTGCAAGCCAAAGCGAGACGACACCACACCAGCCGCATCCCTTCTCAACAAGACGCCCGCCCGAGTTCAAGCCTGATCAGAGTCAAACCTCTTCAATCGACGCCCTGCTCATTCGTCCATCTGAGGTACTCTTCCGCCGATTATCGCACAGCCAGCAAGCAACAATGGGCAACGACGGCGGCTCCATCCCCACGCGCCGCGAGCTGGTCAAGTCGGCTGCTCGCACCCCCACCATCAGCGAGCTCAAGGCCACTGCTCTAGAGTCCCTCAGCCATGCGTGGACAATGTGCCCCCTCTCCTCCGAGCCTCTGGACATGGAGAACGTCGTGTCCGACTGGC